CAAAAGTGCTTCGAAAATTGGTTTGAGCCCATACAAAAGTGTATAGATCTTAATGTGGAGAATCTTAAAAGGCAGTCAAGCGATTTTCAATAAATAGTATTTGTTCCTGTTCTCAAATCCCGAAATATAAAAGGCAGCCTACGTACATGTTGCTCAGCCTGCTCTTATTGTTAGACTAAATGAGAAGGTCAGGACTTCTTCTATGGCTCGATTCTTACTCTGTCTTCTCATTGGCTTCGTAACAAAAGGCGTTCTGTCCGTTGTCGCGGCCTTTAGTTTGAACATCTTCAACTCTTCAAAAATCCGTGTATTATCCATATATTCATTTGCCAGCAACAAGTAAGAGGGGAAATCGAGAGAGCGGCGTTGCAGATTCTTGTGTCTACTCGCTGACGGAACCAAATGCGTGTGCATGTGACTTAATGGTCGCTCGCTTTGGTCGTACATGTAATGTCTTCGCTATTCAAGGTGAAAGAGTGTGATGAAAGGAAGCAGGACGAACCTCACGAAAGCCCGATTTGTGATGAAGTTGGCTGCTGGGAGGTCCAAAAGAACAACTAGCAACATGCGAAAAACGATTTTGCTATGCGACCTTTAGGGCTCCATCGATATGGGAGTACGAGAAAAAATTTCGTGTTGAGCTACATCACTACCATTAGCCAGTTCCAGTTGCTAGGCATGCTTAATAGCTCAGCCGAGTGTGAAAAAATTATTGCGGGCGCATCTAGAGGTACATAAGTTAGGTACGCTAAAGAACATGCATCCCATGAGGTAAACAGCGGCAGGGGCAGCGGGCGGCACACAGAGACGAAATTGGGAACTATTGACGTGGAACCCGAATATCTTTCTTTTTCTGAGTTGAGTTTGTTGACTCCAATGTTCTGGCTATGCTACGTTTTGTTATACAGTTCAACGCTCAGTAACGTACCTTCTCACGTCATGAAATCCTCAAGTAAGTGTTCACTCCCAGTAACCCTGAAAGGATTAAGGATGCCAAATCATCTTTTTGAAAAAATGTTCGAGAACGAACACTGCATTTGGGAAGCAATGCGCAGAATTGCTGACTTCAGGCTGCTGCATCAGTATCAGTTTTTTTTCTATCACTAAATTCTGCTAAGCACTGTCGTCGAAGTTTTCCTCTTCAAGATAGCCACTGCCTGAGAAGTGTTGGCAAGACCTTTCGAATGAGGTGGAGTAGGGAATCGTTTAAGTGCCTCGGAATCATAAGACTCATGTCGCCGTGCTGACGAAATCTGACGTCTCATGAGCGTAGACACTTTGTATGCATGACTGGTTGGAAAGCAAATTATTTCTGGCTCCACCACAATGAGGGAGTACATGACGATAACTCCTAAGCGAGCAACATGCTACTGACAAACTTCTACTTAGCTCTAAACTGATGCCCACGAACTTCGAGGAACTGTTCTGTCAGTACTGGGCCCCTTGACTGGTGTTTTACTTCTGTAGAAGAACGTTTTTCAATGTATTCAAAAAAAGGGAGTAGCTATTGATCTGGAAAGCTAAGCTAACCACCTGGTGATCTGCGCTGTCTGGACCCCCACTGAATCCAGCATCACTGACACCTTGTGAGATATCTCCGAAGCTTGCAATTTGGAATGATGGTTTTTCAATTCGTGATTGACAACCGCTTGTTTCATTTGAAACTTCCGTCCCTTCTAGGCCGTTGACAAATATGAAACCTGCCGTGGAAGTTGTAAGCGTTGAGTTCGGTGGTCTTCGAAAGTCATTGTACGAACATCCAAACTATGTATGCTAAGAATGGAAAATATCTTGGTATATGCTAAGCGTACCAAAACGATACAGGCCTACGTGAAGAATTCCTTCTTCGGCGTCCAAGTGTGGCCACATTTTCCATATTCCAAAATTCCGGCAAAAAATTAAGGACGACTGCTTACCAACTCAACATTTTGCTACTGCTGAACTGACGATTTCGGTAAGGCGCGTTAATGTGAAGGGATCTTATGCCATACACCCTGCTCAAGAAGTGTTCAGATCCCTCAGGGTGAATTTGAATATCCAGTTGTTCCATTTTGGGCAATTTGATCATGCTCGTCCTACCTAATGGGTTTTGAGATGTGGATTAACAGCAGAACAAAAAGCTATGACTTCGCTGAAACATCCATAACTGCCATGTTCTTGAGGGTACATAGAGACTTATGTAATGCCGAATACATTTTGGCATTAAGGGCTTTTGCTGCAGAATCATAGGTGAGTGCCGCTAGAATACTGAGGGACTGCGAGGTTGGTTTTTGGAGAGCAATGGAAGGAGTAGAATGGTATACACCAACCTCAAATCAGTTTTCAAGAACTACTACTTTTTTTCCAAAATGATTCTTTCAATAGTTTTGCCCAAGACAATGCGACAACAGGTCGATCTCGTCTGGGTCATTGTCAAGTCATTACTTTCTTCTCCTAAACCGGTGTGGCACCATCCGAGCGGTTCGGAGAAATGGAAGCTCCACCTCGTCTGAAAATATGGGTAATGAGCAAGTGAAGAAGGCTAAATAGCAGTGATATTACTCTGACTCTGATCGATACAACGGCACCTCCTCTCTTCATCAGCAGTTGGGTCCTCATGTAATATGACAACTCACTAATGAGGAACCTGGCTAGCTCCCCCTCCCCAGTGGTCTCACTGCCTATGTACAAATGCAGGATAACGATAGAATCTGCATGCTCCGACTAACATCCACTCTTGATATCGTTGTGACTTCTACTCTATTCCTTTGCTTCTTTTTTCATCACACAAATAAGATAAATTCGAAGATCATGGAGGGTCAATTCCTTCGATTCGTGTACTCGCCTCAAGATTGATATTCCATGTTTAACTTCTTAAAATTCAGGCGTGCATTGTCAATTCCGTCAGTGCGTGTCCAACCGCGATCACCACTGCCTTCCATGTCACATACGATTGATATCTCAATAGCTATCAAGTGAGTCAACAACTTTCTTCAGCGAATGACTTAGCATGACAACCGCGAACTAGCATCTCAAATTGACAGCTCTTTGGAAGTGACTGAAACGATAGAGTTACACAAGAAAGGAGCAACAAGGGTACGTTGAAACTGTGGCACGAGTGCAGGGCATGAAGAGGATGACAGATGTAGTGTCATATAGAGCAAAACAACACAGAAATGATAAGGTTGCGTTTTGTAACTATATGAGTCTTTTGGATGTGGAGGTAATACCCCCTTTCCCCCAGTGGAGGTAATACCCCCTTTCCCCACCCCACTCACGAGCAATAGACTCTCCGTCTTCCTTTTTTTCCTAACTTAAGACGATATCCTATCGTTGCCTGCGAAAATCTGTGGATGTGTACTGAATTATGGTTCCTTTTTGATACTTCACACGGTGCTTCCGAAGAAGTTCGCTCGGTTCACCACCTGTTTTCTAATCAAAGTTATGTCAGGAAAGGTTCAGAGCCACCGAGAGTGAAAATGGAAGGTGTGACTCTCATCAGCGGGGCAGTGACCACGAACCTTTCCCTCCTCCCCCTTGCTCGAACAGTCAACGACTGTAATAAATCTACATCTACTCCTTATCGAAATAGATAAATGTTGGCAAACCACTGTATCCCTTGTTGACATGCGTCTATCTCTATTCATTTACATGGATGTTCCAAAACCTAACTCTTATTTCGCCCAATAAGTTTGGCTCAAAATGCAAAAATGCAATTTTTAAGCGACTTAACTGGGATCGATCACCTGACGCGGGTCAATTGTGTATTTTGGCAAAATGACACCGAAAATGAAAAAAAGTGGCATCCGATTGCGGCAACCAATCCATCCGTGGTCTTCTCAACCAACATTGATTTTGACGACAAAATCTCCTTCAAATATGTCTTCGAAAGGCCACAACTCATCAAAATTGATCTGTGAGTCCGTTTTCTGAAGATCCTCTTCTCTGTAGTAGAAGTATATAGTTGCCTTCAGGTGTCGCCTTCACGATGGCATTACGGCATCCGGTTCGGATGATGTTGTCGGAAGTTGTATTTTTAAGGTGGACGAGTTGATTGGATCCTTCGGTTTGCAGCTACGACGATCGCTCTAGTCAGTAATTTTCCATAGTAATTCCATTTCATTACAAATATTTCGCAATATATCATAAATGCTTCTTCAAGAATCTTCGAGTAATGCCCGAGGCATTCGCTGTTCTGCCTATGTCTTAGTATTACTAGTAATTACTTCAAGATTTGAATCTTTATAATCTCAATATTTATGTATTCAAATTACTTGATAGGAGTGCAAGGTGAAGAGAAAGGAATGATCATTCATTTGAGATATTTTTCTTTTGATTTGTATGATGTCTTATCTGTAGTGGTAGTATGTTGCTCCCCGAATAGTTGGGTAGTGCCAAGTGGCGAACTACCACGCGTAGGACGCGGGGATCCAAGCCCGAATCAAAATCCATAAAGGTCCCCTGAACTGAACTCTGCTCGTGAAAACGGTGATTCGTGCAGTGATTCGCCCCCTGCAAGTTGCAGTATTGTCCACATGCATGCATATTTGGACACCACTTTGATTCTGAAAAGAAAGGAAATTCCAAAATGGAATTGGTCATCGCTAAAAGGCCTTGTTCTCAACTGTGTTGATTTTTATTACCCTTTCTGTTCATTCTAGAGCTTAATGTTTCTTTTGGCTGCTCACATATATTCCAATCGCCCTTTTCTATTCTGAAGTCCTCCGAGAAAGTTGGCAGATTTCATTTTCTGATACCGATCTTTCGTTGTTTTGTTTTGTCATTTTGTGTGGAAAGAAAAAGCTCCACAAACGTCCTATTCGTCCCAGTCGCTAAAATCTTTTGACCCCTCATTCATTTTGCGCGAAAAGACGATCACCGTTGATATAGAGCTCTCCTGTCAATTCTGCAGCGTAGGAACAAGTGGTGTTGTTTGCAAGAGTTAATTAACCTACTACACCTGCATAGCTCTGTTGGGAAGCTTTCCACCTCTACTTAGTCACTCAGTCGCTGCATACATGATCATTCTTCTGCAGAATTGTAGGAGCGTATCCTTCCGCGAGCCTGACGGAAGCCTGACGTAGTGCTCATTCTGAACAGAGTTCATCGCAGCGCGCTTTCTCACAATCGCGTTCAACTCTTCCATAGTGAAAAGAGACGAGTTTTCCTCAAGGCATTCGAAAGTTTTTTGATATGTTCGTTAAGCAGATCATGTTTCTAGCGATGCGTGGAGCGGCTTCCTTTTTCTGTAGTCAGAGTGACACCACCTCATTATCGAACTGAAATTCGAGAGCCAGCAAAGGCTTCATTTTTTGGGTGTCATTTTCCAAACCGTCAAGGGAATATGAGTTGGACGAAAACAACATCAGACTACCTTGGCATTTGTATTTTATTATGAGAGATTTTTATTATGAAGATTATTATTATTAGATTATTTTATAAACTAGATTATTTTAGCAAGTCGCCGACGATAGCTCAAGTACTGCAGTCCAATCGGCATAGCCTTCAAATGATCGGCAGTGTTATCATATCAGGCAAGTCCTCTCACTCCTTCCATCGTTTTCTTCGTCGAAATACGACTTTTAAAACTGACAGATTAACACGACTTCATTTCGATATCGCACATTTCAGCTCAAATGCCTGAGAAAGAGCAGCCAATCATTGTTCAACTACATGGAAGATCTTTGGACAGGAAGGATCTCATCTGGGACGAAACGGCAGTTTTCTTCCGTGTTCGTCAATACCATGATTACGCTTTCACTAGAGCTCGAAATATTTTCATATATTTTTTATTTGCTCTCACTGCCTCCTCTAAGTTGATTGGCTTAGTTTACTCCTCTGCAGTTGTCTTCGGTCTGCATCTGGTCGTTGCTCATGACCACGCCAAGATAATTATATTATTCATTCCCGAATTGAAAATCCATAGTTCTGTGGACCTCCATAACAATGCACTAAACAGGGTAAAACAGCTCGTCGTAGTAGAATATATCAACCTACATACTATTAGCTATTTGAAGTTATCGTGGCAATAGAATACGTCAGTATCTCTCAACTAAGAAAGAGTTGTAGGAATTCCAAAGCCGTAATTCATAATAATGAAACGTGGATGAATGGGCAGAGAGTGGAGTATATTCAAGATTTTCAGGTTTTCCGTTTGGAAGAAGGCAAAGACGAGGACGAATTGGTGTTACTTTACGAAAGCGAAGCCATAAAAAACCACTCCCATCCTCAGTGGGCTGAATTTCGACTCGGAACGCAGGACGCAGCAGACAACAGGAATAGGTGAGATCGTGATTAATTGATCGTTCTATAATTGTTCCGAATCACCTGCACTACCCAATTCCAGGTTATTAGAAGTGTGGGTGATGTACAGGGATGTCGACAACTCGGAAGGATTCATTGGAAAGTTCCTAACCACCTACGCAAAAATGAAGTACGGTCCGGGTCCCGATAATGTCTATGCTGTGATAAACGAAACGAAGCAGCAACAAAAGAAGGTGATGTGGACAAAAGAAGAGCTTGGGAAGTTATAGAAACAACTAAAGGGCGATTGATTCAGAACTATGAGAACAGCGGACGAATGGAATTGGTGAAGTTCACTGACGTTTCCTTCTTCTCCTTTCTCGACTACATCGTTAGTGGGTGAGCGAAATTCACAGAAGATTGTTCGATTAGAATTCAAATGGAAAAAGATAGCAATCACAAAGCCCGCTTCTCTTTCCTGGTAGAGCTCAGAGAAATTTTTTTATTTACATCCTCACCAAAACTCCCCTATCAATCGCTTGGCTTTGAACCCTCTTCCGAGTGGTTCTGTGTACCTCATTCCGCCGTCGCAAGACCTCCCTAAGCGGATAAGAGATTGATATTTTCAAAGTTGAACATCAGTCGATAAAGGCGTTGCTTTCGTTGTTTGAGAAACGAAAAACACCTCAGCATCAATCGCACGAAGAATCTAGTGGGCTTCAATCTAAGTTGCAACAGAAAATGCAGAGGACTATCTTTTTTGAAATATTTTGAGAAGCAAGCAGGATTATTGCACCCCCTGTTAGCTGTATTCTACTCTCTAAGTTCGCCATATATATCAGCATTCGTTCTGTCTATCCTAGCTGGGACGGCCGTGGGCAGACAGCTAAACAAGACACCGTCCCCTTGGTCAAAAAGTATTGTTTCGGTAGCCCCATAGAATCTGAGAGCGTTCCTCATTGCTAATCATTTGCCCCTTCTTAGGACTCAACTGCACTACGAGGTTGCGGTCGATTTTTCCTCTGAAACGTTACCGAGCAAGTCCGAACAGAGCCGTTTTGAGGCAGAAGTGCATCTAGCCATACGTGCCATCGGAGGCATTCTCAGAGACTATACACCGTCAGTTCACTTTTTTCGCTCTTATTGCTTTACCCGTTCGGCTATCAGAGCATAACTATTGTGCTACGAATTCAGGAACCGAATGTTCGCTGCTTTCGGGACGGGTGCCAAAATACCACCAACATTCCAAGAATCTCATGAATTTCATTTGGTATTTTACTTTTTGTATTAACTAATATAAGGAAGTTTTTTTNTTTTTTTAATCAGGATTATGGTGGATTCCCCGATCACAAGTATTATACCACCTATTTTCGCGGTTCCCCTTCTCAAAACTGCAGAACCAGCTCATCCAAACATAAGGTGTTCACTCTTGCTGTTGCCCTTTGCAACCCTTTCAGATGTGTAGCTTAGGATAAGCCATAAATAGGATATTGCGTCAGTATCGTAGAGAGCGTGGTTAAGGTTGCTGGAGAATGGGCTGCACCATCCTTAGGATAATCCCTGGATTATTAGCTTACCAGATCTTGTACAAGTAACAGAGCCATAATCGCCAATTTGACTAGGGAAGTGAGACAAATCCCTGGCGCTGTAAGGTGTCGCAAACGGTTGATGCCAGGTGGCGATGCAAGGACTGGAAATCACAGTGTCATCAATTCCATGAACGCTGCCAGTGACGCATGCTTCACTCATTGTTATCGGTTAAGATGTGAAACTGCTGGAAAATTATCTCTTTAGAACTTCAACGTTGACCCTATCTGCCTCGGTTTGGATGGTGTCATAGAGGCATTTCGCAAGGCTCACTCAATGGTATCACCTACAAGGACGGCGAAATTTGCTTCGGTTGTTTCTCATGCCATCAGGTGAGGTGAACTGCAGAAGCAGCTGCAGTTGTATTCCGGCAATTCTCTGAACGTGTCTGATGCTAATTTCAAAGTACAACTTGTGGCGTGATTGCTAGTTTCAGCTTTTCCCTTCTGAACAGAAATGCTAGTAGACTTGCGATCGAACGAAACCCTCATTTTTCAGAGCTGTGTATTTGCTAAGCCATAAAGATGAAGCTGGGCTTGGGGAATGTGTAAAGCGGGGCAGAAAAAGTGACCGGAAGGTTCCTGTTCTAGAATGGATAGTTCTGTATTTAGTCTGCTTACCTCCTAAGTTTCTTACCTCCCAATAGTTTCCCTCTACATTTTTTATTTTCCTTCCTCTTTTATCTTCCTTAAATGCACAGGAAAAAGAACGGTGTTGGGTTCACAAACCATTACCCTCTTGAAGCTATCGAGCTTTCTAGGTCCAGGACCCATCCGGTAGCTTTAATACGCAGGCTTCCACACTGGCCCGTACGTTCGTACGGCCCGGCGTGGGTCGAATGCGTGGGGCAAATTCTCAGTAGGGATTGATCGACGCTTAACACCTTTCCCCTTTGACTTGATTGGAGATACACTATCTAATTCCATTAAGTGCTTCTCCATTCTGATCGACGTCAAATGAATTTGTCTACTCAGGGTGCCTAATAGGCAGGGTTCGATTTCGTCACTTATTGTCAATTTCAGATATTTTTGAAACACTCTGATCTCGACACTTCCAGAATGTCTCATCGCTCTGGTTTTCGGGGCCTACATTATCATGTGCTGGCAATTTTTACACGTGGAGTACCGACGGACATAAAGGTTTGCGCACCTTAGCTTCGTTGCTCTGAGACACTGAACTGTTATCTTTTTCAAGGAGCTGAGCAACGCCATAATAGCCGCAAGCGATGCGCCCTTATCTGTGATCATTATCGGAATAGGAAAGAATGATTTCTCAAGTTTGGTGAAATTGGCAGCAAAGAGAAAAGAAGGAACGAGGTCATGCCTGCAGGTGCACTACTCTTACGAACTAGGATCAGTTTTAGACTATTGTTCCATTTGAACCTTCCTTATCGATTATTCAGTTCATCGCACTGGCCGACATCATGGACAGCAGCGATCTGCAATCCGAAATCCGAGCCCGTCTGGCTCAAAAAGCATTGCGAGCTATCCCCGAGCAAATGACCGAATTCATGCATTCGGCTAACATCGCCGCAAAGCCACCGATTCAGGTAGGCCGAATAACTAGCATATATACGTTTGCATATATGTGTATACGTACGCATTACGTGTATCCTAATATATAATTCGCCAGGTGTGCCTGCTGGTGTGTGTGTGTGTGTGTGTGTGTGTGTGTGTGTGTGTGTGTGTGTGTG